CCGATTCTATTATAGGCTTGGCGTCTAGGGAACGAAACGAGTTTTTGTCAGTACCAGTCACAAGGTTAGCAACGGTTTTAAAACATTTGCATCTGTTTCAAAATTCAATTTTGGTTTTAATTATATTTAAATTTTAAATTGAATTTTATTTACGGTCTGTTTTAAATTGAATTTAAAACAGGACGTAAATATTTTAAAACAGTCTACAAAACACCGTCGATAATATTATGTCGTACCACCAAATTGGGATATAGTATTTCCACTAACGAAAAATTCCTTACAAAAATAAGACTCCATGAATGTGTTGTATTTGATTGCTAATTTTCATTTTAATTAAGAAAAAAAGTATATAAAATGTTTGCAAATCGTATGTAGCGTAAATTGGAATGTGTCTTTGGTCATATTAATAATAAGGTGTTTTAATTAATAACTTCTGTAACTATACTAAACTATAGTATAGTGTGCTTTAATATTAGACATAACTGGGACCTCTAAGAGCCTGAAACATTGGATTGGTTTGAAAAATAAACTATAGTATCTTCGATTTAGATCCGGACAATAGTTATGGAACTACCATAAGTAGGTAACCGATATATGACTTTAAAAAATGTAATTACTTCACCTCCAGGTTGTAACTTCAAGTCATCGAGTACATAACCAGAAATAGAGACGAAATGTCATTTAATTTGTTTGAAAACTATTCTGCCAAATCATTACGGTGATAACTGCGCTCCATTGACTCGCCCGAATTCGAAACAATTGACGGGTGTCGTCAATTGTTTCATTTCAAAACTACCAGGTTAACTTGAGCTTTGCTATAATGGACGAAAATTGCAAAATTACATATTTAATTTGATTCCGTTTGTTTTGCTGTTTTTCCTCACACCACCGAATGGAACAGCCCCGCATAGTTAGGGATATTATCTTTATTATAATAAATATAGAATATTTCTGGAACATACGGAGACGTACACACAGGTCAGTAGGTGGCCTGTCTATATTTCAGTACAAACGAGAGTTGATATTTACACGTGATGTATCACTGATGAGTTACCAGGGGTGGATGGCCTTTGATGCTTCAAGTTAACATAAGGGCTCATTTGAATGTCATCGCGCTCACCCCGCGCGGAGTCCGCGTTGCTGCCGCGCAGCGACCGCATGCGTCTAACTGTCATGGCAAAATACGCTCTATTTGTTTAGCTTTTACGTTTTAATTTAAATGAGCGTCCCGGTCACGCGGACGAGCCTGGCTTGAATTAAGTCTACAATAGCTCGGCGACTGTTGTTTGTATTATTCAGAGGAATTTTAATGTTGTTGCCTAGTAAATAGAAATCAGATTCGCCATTAATGTGTACGAAGGCGTGGTAACTGGGTCGCCGCCGTGCGGAATCTTTCTCTTCATGTAACTGGGCGCTAAGAGTTTTTTTATACAGTTTTGGTCCCTCAGCACAGGATTTACCTAGTTTGGGTTTTTGTTTTCCACACTTAATTTAAGCGTATTAACTATTTGTATTAATTACTGATTTTATTATTACGATTCTGTTGAATTTTCAGAATACACAAGTAGGTAAATAAATGATAATAATTTGCACAAGCAAAATAAAAACATTTATTACCTTACCTTAAAAAAATGATTGTGTTAAAAAAAATTACATAAAAAAATATTTTTGTATAAAAGTAACGGGACTTAGAGTCGTATGCCAGAACTCTACTCAATACTCAAGTCAGGAGTAGAGTATTGCAGTGAGCACTGAAAATCATACTCAAGCCCTTGCCATTAGGATCGTATTTCCAGTGCTTGAAATCATACTCAAGTCTGCTCAAGTCCTGACTTGAGCATTGAGTAGAGTTCTGGAATACGACCCTTCGTCGCGGAGTATTTTAGTCGGAAGCGGTCCGACTAGTTTCAACCACCATCGGTGGTCGTCATCAGGGGTTGAGTGCAACGTTCGCGACTCGTCTAGTGATAGACGTGACGCGGTCGCGAACGTTACTCTCGACCCCTGATGAAGACCATCGATTATGGTTGAAACTCGGACCGCTTCCGACTAAAATACTACGCTAGTAATCCCGTTTACTTTTATACTATAATATGTGATAACCGCGTCTGTTTTCATAATAAAATATTTTTGTGTATTTCATTAATATCATTTTGCCTGTCGTTGAAATATTTTTTTAAGGTTATTATTATATATTTTATATTTTTATATACTTTTCATAATTATTATATATTTTTATAGTGACGGGACGACCAAGTCGTGCGCCTGTTGGCAATAGACACGCATGGCCGTAGCAGTTGCAGTACCACTCAGAACTTTAAAACGCAAAGGTCTGAGGGATACTGGCACTACGCCCGTCACCCTGAGACAAGTTGTCAACTTACACATACAAGTCTCGTAATTTCACCTGCACCCTTACCCTTACTTACCCTTCAAAACCGGACCGCAATAATGCTCACATTACTGGGGGTCTACTCACTTTCTGCATCCGACATCCGTCCGAAACAATTAGTGTGAGGCCAGACGAGCGTAATTTTGTAAGTTGTGAGTTGCGTTTTTTGAGTTGCGCAGTTTGCGCTCGACCAACATTCGGGTGGAGCGCCATACGAACGTGTTTTAATCAGATGCTTTTAAGCGTTTATACGGGGTGTTTACGACATATAATAGTGTATCCATTAAAAATACTATGCATTTATGAAGCATTAGAAGACGATGTTAGAAAAAGAAAAAGAAGCTGGGTACATCCATTTAATATGAAACGATGAAAGTATGCTTCATATATTATATACAAGTTTATGTGAACATCCTGATCAATTTGTTAAGTACTACCACATGCTAATAAATGTTTTTCATGAATTGTGAAGCCCAGTAAAACCTTGAATTACAGTTCAGACGAAAAACTAATAATAACAATCAAGTGAGTTGTTCAATTATATTCATTTTAATTTCCCTATCGAACATTTTCGCAAGAAACGTCTATACTCACGCTCATCCTATACCAAAGTAACCCCTTCCCTTACCCCTACCTCCACCCGCGCCAGCCCGTCGCACGATGCGACCGAAAGTCAGTCGTCATTACGCCCGTGAGTCGGCAGATAACTAATTTCGCGTCGTCGTGTGAAACAAACCGTACTTTTATATGAAACCGAATGCAGCGCAAACTACGCAACTCTAACTACGCGACTCACAAAATTACGCTCGTCTGGCCTCACACTTACTGTCAAATAAGTAACACTCCACCAAGTCAAATGCGTATAATACGAATGAAGCTTCATACATTGTCAGTGGCTAAGCAATTTTTTTGGTATTTTGCTCTTCGTTGATACTTCGTTGGTGTAGTATATTAATAATAATAATATGCATAACAATTATGTTAGTTATAGTAAAGCAACATCGATCGCTAGTAATTGCATGAATTAATATGCCATCACTGCTATACCACTGAGACTCAGGTGCAAGGTGAATCTTAACAGAATAGCAGATATAACCATAATTGCAATATAATTTCACTTGAATTACAATGACCAGTGTGGTTTAAAAAAAATTGCTGGATTGGGCTCCTGGTTTGTTGTGCTTTTAGCAGTAGTAGAGTTCTTTGTGAACGAGCTCATCCAGGGTTAATACCTTACTATTTCTGCCGCCAAGCAGTAATGCCTGGCTTACTGTGTTCCGGTTTTGAAGGGTGCTGGTGAAATTACAGGCACATGGGACTTGTCAACTTATGTCTCAGGGTGGCAGTGCCCCTCAGGTTTTTGCGATTTAAAGCTCCGAGTGACCCTGCAACTGTTATGGATAGGCACATAGCTTACCAACAGGCGCACGACTTATTCGTCTCGTCACTTGATATTATATAAACAAAAGAAAAACAAAAACACATTTATTAACAAGGATAACACAAACAAAAGGTTACAGTTTGTTTAATTAATTAAATTTCTAGTTTATGTCTAACTCTTGTTTATTTCAATATAAACGTTGCATTTTATTTTTATTTTTTTATGTTCCGTTAAACGTGCCGGTGTGTGTATTTAATTTACGCAAACTGTAGCACTTTTTGAGTGAAAGCGTCTCACGAAATACGAAGCAATATTGCATTCAATGGTCACTTCACAACGCAGCTGTTTTCAGGCAGTTGTTTGCTTAATTCTCAAGATAACTTACGTATAGTTTGTGGAGAATTTCTCTCTGAATTACTACAACAATTTACATTATTGCGTTGCAACTGGGTTTTATCGAAATGGGTACGCAGATCGTTAACCATGTTCTTTATCGTGTGATTTGAATTTCATACAGTGTGGCTGTGGTAAAGAATACAGAACTGTGTTTTGTTCTTTTGAAAGAGCCCTTTTATTATGTTTTCTGTGTTTGTTTGTAAGTTACTTTAATAAATGTATACGTCCAGGATATAACTTACCTTGTTGGTGTGATAAATACCAGTATTTAGTGAGTGTATGCATATCTTATGGTTTTCTGTGACAATTGGGGTTACACCAAATATTTCTGAGGAAGTTGAAAGCGTTGATGTGATACATACATACGTGTATTTAGCAGAAACTTGTGATGAGGTTTGTTAATGTCGGGTTTAAATCGGGTTAAAACTCGTTAATGCCCGAAATGGGGTAAAAACTATTTGCTACTAAATATTTGTTGTTAATCAAGTTGTTTCAATGGTCCCATCCGCGGGCGCTACAGAGTCCTAGGGGCCTAGATAGGGGCCTCAGAAGCAATTGGGGCCGTTGATACTGTCCAGTGGGTACTACCGCATATAAAAGAGAAAACCTGAATGATCTATGTATACTACACTATATACATATATATAATTTTTCCCCTTGTGATTTTTTGTGTTAAGTTAATATAAAAAAATACGTATTTTCAATTATGTTTTGTGGTGGTGGGCGTAAATTTTTTTTTTATCTTGCCTAAGTGGGTGGTGAGCTAAAAACTTTGGGAACCTATGACAGCGTAATTTGTTCCTGACTGTTGTCAATTTGTGTATCTCACAGGGGGCATCAAAGCAGGGGCGTTGCGCGCGGCCCGAGTGGCTTACCGGGTCCTCTCCCGTCGCAAGGCCGCGGAAGAAGGCGCGGCTCGTTTGGCGCGCGTGCTGTCGGCCCTCGACCTGACCGCGCTGGGAGTCGGCAGCACCCTCGGTGTCGGTGTCTATGTGTTGGCCGGCGACGTCGCCAAGAACTATGCTGGACCGGCAGTCGTACTTTCTTTTTTATTGGCTGCCGTTGCTAGTGTATTCGCTGGTAAGTATATTTACTTATTAACCCGGAAAAGGAGGAGGTTCTCAATTCGTTTTGTGTGTATGTTACAACGGCATTTGTGAACCGATATTGATGATTCTTTTTTGTTGGAAAGAGGGTACCTCAGTGTTGGTTCTATTTAAATTTGAAAATATTCCATCTTTAAGGGTATAAGGGTGGGATGAATCCGGTTTCGCGCACTTTCCGTTAACCGACTTCAATGAAACTTGACAAATAGATAGTGATTTCATGAATTTTTCAGGTCTGTTTTTTTTTTATAAAAATAGGAATTGAAACGCCTCGAACGGATATATTTATTTATTGAATATGATATTTTACTATCACACATTCGTATATTTTTATTGAACTCTACTAGTTTGCTATTATTATTAATAATAAAAAGATCGAATTCATCGAATTAACACTAAAAAATATTTCATCGATCTGACTCGAACAAGTTTTTTTTATGATACAATGTGACGGGACCATTGACTTACAATTATATGGACGTCGGGACCGCGCTAAAAAGTGTCCGAACTTACAGGACGTTAAAATCGTACACAGAGCGTCATTCACGCTTTAGTCTTCGTTTGTTCGACTGACAGCGAAGCAAGCAAAATTAGACAGTACTGCGATGACATTACAATTTAAATTCAACGTTTTAGCTTTTTCATATTCCTTTACATGTCACTACGTTTAAATAGGTTGACTTGGGACATTTTTTTTCGTGGTTTTTGTATTAGACCCGTCGTCCATTTATTTGTAAGTCAATGGACGGGAATAAGTCGTGTGCGTGGTGTTAAGCGACATGCCTGTCCATAGCAGTTGCAGTGCCACTCAGAGCTTTAAATCGCAATGTTCTGGGGCACTGCCATTGCACCCGTCACCCTGAGACATAAGTTTGTATACCTATTCCCCTATTGTCGTACTAATATCCGATGTCACACGCCTATTATAAGTATGTGTCAAACATACAACGAATGAAATGTTAGCAGTACTGATTTAGATATATTTAGTGATAAGATCGATTCCTTTAAAAGTAAATTAACATAAAAAAATAAAAATAATTAATTAAGTTTCTATACTATTCCTGTAGCAGTTCGTATAGTATATACTGTTACTATATAATTTAAATTATTAGTTATTATATCGAGTTTTGTTACACATAGGAAATGAAACTATTTTTCTAAACCAACGTTTCGGGTCCTTTACAGATCCCATAGTCAAATGATCCCATGGTTTGTTTGAAAGAAACAAATATGTGCGATTTAAGTCCGGAAAAATAGTTTCATTTCCTATTAGTTTGTTATTGTTGTTTTGAGATTGCCGTCAACACTTATAATTGTTGTATTTACTATGTAGAACACCCAAGTCAAATGAGGTAAAAAGGAGTTGTGAATATAATGTTAGTGTTGCTAATAAATAAATAAATAAGTGACAAGTCCCATGTCCCTGTAATTTTATCAAAAGTGTAAGAGCAGCTGTAGCCACGTTGAGGCAACAGATACTGGTTCGAGCCCACCAGGTTCGAAAGGAGTTTTCTTTGTCTTTGTTTGATCTTTGTTTCAATAATAATAATATTAATAATAACCCAAACAGAGAGTAACGGTAGTAGCCCAGTAGCAGAACGCTTGTTTCTCTTTTTTTAATGATACCAAGAAACAATACAAGCAAGTGGTGAGTCTGGTGGTAAGCGACACGACTGTCCATAACGACTACATTGTCACTCAACGCTTTTAAACGTAAAGATCTAAGGGGCACTGCCACTGCTCCCGTCAACCTGAGACATGAGTTGAAGTCTCAAGTGTCTGTAATTTCACCAACATCCTCATAATGCTCTCATTACTGCTTAGCAGGAAGGAGCTCTATTGCTACAATTGATTAAGATAAGATTGAAAAGGTTCTGCTCATTTGATTGTTGGACGTTGGTTGCGGTAAAATCTTGTTTCACATTTTACCATACAACTACAACCTGTTTTGTACCGATCTACTTTGTACTTAAATCTGGAGGCGGGCTAACTTATTTCATTTAACCGTTCTTCATGGTCTAACGTTTACCATGCTGGACTGTCACGCAGTGGTCCTTTTTTTTTTTGTCGGGGGTGAAATCTTTATGGATACCCCTGAGCCCAGGGAGACTCAGGGGTTATGTGGGGACTCTCCCTCCAGACTGGAGGGCCTACCCCACTAAAACCCCCCCGGGTTTCCCTCTCGCCGGTTGAGTCGGCGCCGTGGGATCGGTGAACATTCACCACGACGTCACGCAGTGGTCCTGGGTTCGATTCCCAGGCCGGTAGAAATATGTGTATGACCTACATTTATTTCTCACGTGAGTTTGTGTAATTTGTGGTTGTCTATGTGTGTGTCCATGGCTCCAACGATACAGGGTTTCTCTAGTGCGGGGCTGTGTTGAGTTTGTGCGTTATTATTATCTGGAAATCTTTAAATGCTCTACTTTTTAGCTATAACAATGAAGTGTTTTTACTTAGAATTTTAATTACGTACACAATATCATACAATATGTAACCGTTTGCGAATTTATGCTGTCTTGATTACACGTATTGATTGGCGAAGCAGTTTTCATTCTTGTCACTTAAATACAGTTAAACAGGTCACTCGCATTAGTGACCTGTATTTAACGTCTTACATCATCATTTCAGTTGAAAGCAGGGCACGAAATGATGACGTTATTTATTTAGTTATTTATTTATAAAGAACTAAATAACGCAAACACACTCAGCACCGCACTAGACCCTGTGTCGCGGCTGCCATGGACACACACATAGACAACCATAAATTACACTCAAAATCACAAGACAAATAAATGTAGGCCATACAAATATTTCTCCTGGCCCTGGACTCAAACCCGAGACCTCTGTGTGGCAGACCAGCATGGTAACCGTTCGCCCACGGAGATAGCATTTCGACACCTTACTTTCTCAAACTCGTATCTTATAAAGAGGTAACCTATCACAAACTCGATTTTTTTTCCGAAATCACGTTTGTTCGAATTTTCATTACACCGAAAACCGAATTATAACGAAACCGTTTTTCTTTCAGGATATGTTGGATGTTTATCGCAAAGACACGATTAGGTTCGGTTAGGTTTAAAAGAAAAAAACATTTTCCTCTCAAAATTACTTTCGAGATTATGAAAATTCGAGCAAACATTATTTCTGGAAAATGTCATTTCGGACTATTGATAACTAACTTTATAAAGAGTTATAATTCGGGACATGGCAAAACTTTCTATTTATTTTAAATTTCTTATCAAGGGTGTTAATTTGGATGCATTACTTTAAGGGTCGTATTCTAGAACTCTATTCAATGCTCAAGTCAGGATTTGAGTATGGTTTAAAGCACTCGAAATCATACTCAAGTCCCTGCCATTAGGGTCGTATCTCCAGTGCTTGAAATCATACTCAGATCCTGACTTGAGCATTGAGTAGAGTTCTGGAATACGACCCTAAGAATAGTAAAAGCCAGTGTGTGAATATGAAGGAGACGTTATGTGAAATCAGCCTGCAAAAGAAGGATGGCGACATCCCTTGTATTTTGTCACCCAATGTTTTGACGACGTGCATTAAAGAGACCTATCAATACTTGTGATTCATTATCAAAGCATCAAAAAAGCTAATTGAGTACAGCCTGTAGAAGTTGGGGTTATAAACTTGATATGAACCTGTATTTCGCTTCAGATGTTTGTTCGTAGTAGCAGAAAACAACAAGTTTTCAGTTTGCTCCTAAAAATAATAAAGAACAGCAAGTTTTTCCTAAATTTGCCAAACTCTGCCACATTCAATACAACGTTAACATGTTCATTGCAATGAAAATGAATAAAAACGAAATCTTGGGTAGATTGGCTTAAATGCCACAAATGGTCACACTGTTCTCAATCTCAAAGTGACATTGACATTGGCAAGAGGCCTCTTGTCAAAACGTTCCTTTACCTTAGAGGATGGAAAAAAATAAAGGAAAGGAGCTGCCCTATCTACGGAATAAACGTCCCAAACTTAACCAAAAATGTCCACCACAAACGACGGAGTTCTTTAGTGTTGTACCATAATCATCGATAAGACAATATCGACATGCAAATGTATGGCTTGAAGGTTGAAGCTGTTTTTTTTTTGTTATGTTTGTAATTTGTGTAGTTTACTGTAATCAAAGTATGATTAAAATGTTTAATTAAACTAGATCAATATTATCAGGGATGATAGATATGAGATTTTGAATTTATTATTTTGCTTTTATAAATGCTCACATATTACGAAAAATAATATATATCAGGAGATCTCTATGAATTTCCAATCTCAAGACTGATATTAGATTTTTTTTAAAGGTTTCCAAATAGTAGTATGTATTGGTATAGAATCAGTGATGTTGATTTTGGTGAATCTAACATTTCCATTCAATTTTTGAAATAAATAAAATAAATTACTTATATAATTGTAATAACATTATCGATAATCATAAAATCAGGTATAATATTAATTATGGGTAAGTTTATTTGCCTAAAACATGGTATAACAGAAGATCTAGCAAGAGACAGTGTCAGTACAAACATGTTATATTACATAACCATGTATTAAACTACCACAACAATAAAAATGTCACAACAAATGGTCGCAAGTTACAAATGAAATTGATTCACCTGGGTAACAGCATTTGTTGTCTGCATATTCTGCACTTCAGTTAACATTGTAGAAGTACCTTGTACAATTGACTGAAACAAGTAGGTTTTTGTGAAACACTGTCTAAATGTATTATATATTGTTATTATCAATTGTCATTCACCTGGGTAACAGCACTTGTTGTCTGCATATTCTGCACTTCAATTAACATTCTAGAAGTATTTGGCGTGTAACACGCTCGACAAGTTTGAAAAAGAGCATTACAAACGGTCATTGTAGATGGGTTTTGTGTAGCTGACGTTGGTCGCTGTTACTTATCATTTACATTGAAACTATATGGATGACAAGTTATTGCAACTGCTGGTATTTATTATTGGGCGCCTATAATTATTATGTCAGTGCATCTAATATATGTTATATAATGTTAGAATTGTCAGTGGGGAAAAATCGGAAACGAGTGGATGGTTTTAAGGGACTGAGAATGAGAACAAAATGAAATACAAAGTTATTTACCAACAAATGCGAAGATGGAATTGCATTATCATGTAATCTAGTTACATTCAAAGTTCTATTAAAATTTGACTCTTCAAAATGGAGCAAACAAACTAAAACTTTAAAAATAAAAATAATAATAATGGAAAAATAAAAACCTCGTAGTGAATTGTTTTAATAACAGAATATCGATAATATGTCTGCTTACAAGAACAACACTATCTCAAAATAATCGTAATCAACAATGATCAATGATGAAAATATACTAACAAACAGGCAATCTAAAGTAACCAAAGCAAAATTCGGCAAGACTTATGAATAAACTACTCAAATGAGTCTAATTACGTGAGATATTTGGGCTATTGTATGGTTTATAGACAAAAAAATAACACATGCCAGTGTAATGTAACATTCGGTTGATTTCCGCCTTTTCTACTGCCGCACCCCTTAATGCCGCAGCGACGCAATTTAATCAATACTTAATTGTTCTCACTGTCAATATTTTTGTCCATTTCATTACAATTCATGCGAATAATTCACTAAAACATTTGGCCTGTTTTTGACATTTGATGTACTTCCCTTTGATGTACTCCAAAAATGTCAAAATGAGGACAGTTGGCATTTAAGATGACGTTACGTGTTTTCGATTTCCGTGTTTGACATAAATTAATGTGCTATCTCTTTTGACTTATGACGGCACGCGGTAGTTAAACAAAGACAATAAGATGTTTATGTTTTCAACGTCTAAATGCATCATATACATATAACGTCTGATTTATATATGTCAATTTATCATGTCCTTTGGTCTCCATAGTCTAAGTCCTTTTACTAACTTTCGATCTATCATTTAAATAATATTGTCTAAACATTTTTGTCATATTCTGTTATTGTTTAATTGACTTAATTAGGTATTTTATAGCTTTATTGTTTTATGTGTGTACTATAAAAAAAACCAGTACTTTAGTTATGTAAACATTCAATCATTATTAAAATGGAACGTACGTACAAGAACGTTACCATCTATGGTCGAACCGATATATATATTATGGTAAAATCATTGACTTACAATTACCTATATGGACGTCGGGTCCGCGCTAAAAAGTGTCCGCACTTTTAAGGCGCTAAAATCGTATACAGAGCGCGACACTCCGCTTTAGTCTTCATTTGTTCTACTGACAGCGCGATACTGCGATGACATTACAATTTAAATTTCGAATAGGTTGACTTGGGACATTTTTTTCGTGGTTTTTGTATTAGACCCGTCGTCCATTTATTTGTAAGTCAATGGGTAAAATACATTGTTTTGCAATTTCTAAAAATATACAAAAATATTTTTATCACGACATAAACTAAAACGTAAAATTATACTAGCAAAGTCCATGAACGACGCTTCGTTGATTTTGGGTCAGCTGTCGCCATCCTTCTTTATATATACAATCCTTTTTGCATTTCAGTAACTTAGTGGTTTAAGATACGAGTTTGAGAAAGTAAGGCAACGATTTGCTGTGTAAATCTGCTTCTCTTATAAATAAATAAATAAAATAAAATAAAATAAAAATCATTTATTTCGGACTTGCATCCATATAAGTGTTAGTAACAATTTGCTTAATCCTATGTTAGTGCCTTATAAAAATATTATTATTGTAACTTAACCTAACGTCTTTGGCGAGATGGACGCTGGTCCAGTGTCGCATAATCGCACTGTCCACGTCCAATCTCGCCGCGACCGTCTGCAGGAGGCTGTTGGGGCTGCCACGCACACGATAGATTAGAGAAGCGATGCTCTTTCGGATGATAGCTGAGAAACTATCAAACACACTTATGCACCATTTATTTTATCTTATATTACAATATAATAGAATCTAAAAGAATGATAGTAAGTAAGCAGTTCCCTGATGATAGACAATGAATAGGAAAATAAACATTGATACATAGTCGGTTAAAAACATAGAGTTTCGGTAAAGTAGCTCATACACTTACCACTACCCTACTTAAAGATACTTATAAATAATATTTACAAAACCAAAAGAAAAACTATTAAAATACGTCTATCACAGCATGTAAACCGATGGTTCCCAAAGTTTTCTATATCGCCTTCCATAAATACTAAATTACCTTTTTTTTCAGGTCTTTGCTACGCGGAGTTTGGCGCACGAGTGCCCAAGGCAGGCTCCGCCTATGTTTACAGCTACGTGTGCGTTGGGGAATTTATAGCTTTTATCATCGGCTGGAATCTGATTTTGGAGTATATAATAGGTGAGATCTTTGTAGTATTATCAATTGTGCTGTACGGTTTGGAACGTGGACGATTACACAAAACGACAAGGAATATTTTGTGACTTTTGAGATGTGGTGTTGGAGACGAATGCTGTCGCCGTTAGTTGAAAGGGCTCTTGTAATAAAAACACAAAACCGCGAAAATTATGTTTAAATTTGTATTGAATTGATATTCAATTATTTTTTGTGAAATTACTTCGCTAGTTTGTTATAATTATTAATACAAAGATCGAACACTTAGGATCAAAGGATTTTTTCCTAAGTGTTGGATCTTTGTATTAATTATAACAAACTAGTGGAGTAAACTCACAAAAAATAATTCAATATCAATTAAATACAAATTTAATTACAATTAATAGCGACATCTTTAGCCAGGGGTGGTAGCTGTAAACGGTCGCTACAGAGATCGGTAAAGAGATTAACATTCTTACACTAACGTCACAGGACACTTATGAAAATGTTACTTATGTTAAGTTTAAAACTATTGTGAAACAAAAACTTTACACTAAAGATTATTAACTTCTGCGTACTTGAATAAAAACCCGTGGTAGTGATCGTTTAGCTCATTCTGGTACTCTCGATCTGCTTACGAATGAGCAGTAGAGTCTAATCAGTATGACGATTTCAAGTTTTATTTTATTTTATTTTTTTTTTGTAATTTGCTTACCCGTGAATTATTTGACTTTACCCAGTAGACCATGCCACCAAAGTGCATCACACGCAAATACATACAACTCTAAAATACCATATAATTTTGTCACGGTTATGCCACACGAAGGCACGGTACCTAAATACCGTAGATAGAAAAATTTTCTGAAACGAAGACCTCATTTGGATTTTAACAACAATTCGAACTGCATTCAAAGATTTCTAAATAACTTCCTGTATGAATCGAACGCGTCAATTGTGACAAAAAACACCTGTAATTTTACTATACTGATCGAAAGCCTCAAATAATAAGGATTGTTTTCTTTTAAATTACATAGCGTAGGAAATGAAGAAACTATTTTTCCGGATTTAAATCACGTATAGTCGTTTTTTCAAACAAACTAATGTTAACGGAAAAATAGTTTAATTCCCTATGTATAACAAAACTCGATAACATAGCGTTTTAAATAAAAGGAAAACCATGACATGTAACATTTAATTTGAAATTTTGTCCAGGAAAATGAACCTGTCCAAAGTTTAGTTTTCAGTAACCGGTATGAGACCACGGGACGCCCTGTATATGTATCAAGTGTATTAAATACGATTGAACGTGGTTAGTACCAATGTAATATAAAGAAAGTAAAATGTAAATTGTGTAATGATTTATGATGATCGAATAGGCGTAGTTGAGGATTTAAAACTGAGGAGCGTTAGCTCTGGTCTAATCACCTTAGACATAAAGGTGACAAGTCCTATGTACTTGTGGTTTCACCGTACAATAATATTGAAATTACTGCTTGGCGGTAGAAATAACACTGGTAGTACAAGTAGCAGTAGAGCTCCTTGTGAGTGATTTCGTCCAGGGAAGTACTGCCACCTTGCCTATTTCTGCCGCCAAGCAGTAATATCAGCATTATTGTGTTCCGGTTTGGAAGGATAAGGGTGCTGGTGAAATTACAGGCTCATGGGAATCGTCAACTTATGTCAGTGGCAGTGCCCCTCAGATCTTTGCGATTTAAAGCTCTGAGTTGCACTGCAACTGTTACGGACAGGCGTGTCGCTTACCATCAGGCGCATGATTTGTTCGTCCCGTCACTTGATGTTATAAAAACTTCCCTGGACGAATTTTTTCTTAAGGTGCTTTATTACTACCAAAAACATTCACCATACTTTCACATCTTTACTTCACAGGAGCAGCATCAGTAGTGAAGGCTCTTAGTGAATACCTAGACTCACTGTGCGGCAAGGCGATGTCTTCATTCTTCCGCGACACCATGCCCATAGATACGCCATATCTTGCTAAGTATCCCGACATCTTCGCCTTCAGCGTTATTGTTTTATTCTCGCGTAAGTATCTCTATCATTACTATTACTAACTGCCTCCGTGGCCGAACGGTTACCATGCCGGAGTGCCACGCAGAGGTTGCAGGTTCGATTCCCGGTCCGGGAGAAATATTTATATGGCCTACATTTATTTATCTCGTGAGTTTGAGTGTAATTTGTGCGTCCATGGCACCCGCGACTCAGGGCTTTTCCTAGTGCGGGGCTATGTTGAGTGTGTGCGTTATTATTATTCATATCTTGAATTTACCCGTCAGACGTCCTTGAAACACACGGTGTCCCAAAAGGTTCTGGTGTTGAAACGTCCAACATTTATTTATTTGCTACTTTGAATGATATTTACATATATTTATAACTTTTATTTAAATGTACGAGTATATGTGTGTCGTAAATGTGTAGTGTGGCTTAAAAGGAAGGATATACATGTACCATTTCCTCGGGACTCAGTCGACGCCGATACAGGAACGACTGAAAATCAGCGTCTGTTTCGACCGAGATAGGCATATTGCTGAGTCGTATCCTTTTCCTCGCTTGAGCCACTACGCACACTTACTAACTTAAATTAATAAGTCACTTGTTGTTTTCTTTTTAGTTGTAATTTTAGATATAAGTGTGTGTAGTGTTTCAAATTCAGTTGAATAAACTTCTTTCTTTCTTTCTTTCTTTCTTTCATTTAGTAGCAGTAGACTGCTAAATGGTGAATAAATAAGACAGGAGCCCCTGCTCCTTGTGAAAGAGTTCGTCCAGGGAAGTACTGCCACCGTATCTATTTCTGCCGCCAAGCAGTAATGTGAGCATTACTGCGTTCCGGTTTTGTGGGGTATGGGTGCTAGTGAAATTACAGGCACATGGGACTTATCAACTTATGTCTCAGGGTGACAGGAGCAATGGCAGTGCCCCTCAGATCTTTGCGATTTAAAGCTCGTGTGTGCACTGAAACTGTTATGGACAGGCGTGTCGCTTATCATCAGGCGTACGACTTGTTCATATCGCCACTTGGTATCATTTGAAAATAATAGTGGAGTATTTTAAAAAAAAAAATGAATTTCATGGTAGTCAAAACCATATATGTTATTCAGTAAAATAAAGAATATCTCTACTCTACATCTCTTCATTAACCTGTACTGTTCCTTTGTTCCCGTTTTGTTTACAAGACAAAAAACAATACATTTATAACATTGATTGATTGCGATATTATAAATTGATCATTCCGGAGCAGTGTCATTCGTTGAACATTAACCATTCTTCGGCAAATGTCGTTACGACTATAAATTTCATTTTAATGATGTAATAAAAGACAATACGTGAACATAATGTTGTCTCTTTTGCTACAGTGGCACTGGCGATGGGAGTGAAAGAGTCCACGAGGTTCAATAACTTTTGTACAGGCGTGAATTTGTGTGTCGTCGCCTTCGTTATCATATCGGGATCTTTCAAAGGTAACTCTCGAAATACTTTAACATAATAATAATGATGGTGAGACCAGGTATTCACTATCATAGTATAATAAGAAAAGTATGGTTTTGTCTTATACAAGGTGTCGCCATCTATACTTGTAAATATGCACTAAAGTTAATTAGTACGAATTGATGACTCGGGTATCCTCCAAGGAGAGCAGGCCATAATCCGCCCAGTTTGGCCCAAACCTATGTATGTGCAGGTTCCATTACGATCTTTTCTTGCATTCTGAGCGATAGGTATTGCTGCTATATGTCGTCCAACCATTTATTATACTTTTGACATAGGCGTGTCTATGAAGTTCCATAATTATTCACAAGCAACCATAGACAAAATAATTTAATACTTCATGGACTCTGTTTTTTCTTTCCCTATAGTGATGCGACGTGTTCTTTAGATTCCGATATTTATGAAGTCGACAGATTATTCTAATGGTTTACTGTTGTACTTTACTCCATTTTTAATACCTAATATAATGTTGTGAATTTAAATGTGTTAAATCGATTAAAACTTTTTACTTTATGGAACTATCGGTAACGCATTAGGACATCACTAATTGATTACTCGAGCTGTCAAAGTAAAATAAATGGTTGGATGGAATATAAACAGGGATACTAATGGTCGACTTTTCAATTTCGAAGCAATATTTCTCCCATTCTAACTGAAAATATCTTCCATATATTACAAAAACGATTATGCCCTTTTGGTGATATTAGATTATTTATTACGCAAATAACTTGTTATAGTATAAATTGAGCCACATGACAAAATATAACAAATTATATTGAGATCGTCAAACAAAAATGAAACCGAAATATGAAAACTCTTTTTTGTTACATTCTGTATAGTGGCCATAATGTACCATTCCAGCTGACGCGAAAAACTGGCGTATACCGGCGGAAGACGTGCCTCACACGGATAAGAAGAACTTCGGGTCCGGTGGTTTCGCACCGTACGGCTTCGCGGGGATCATCAAGGGCGCTGCCGTTTGCTTCTACGGGTTTATTGGTGAGCTGGAGGCAATCTTAATTATGTAAATTTAAATAGCAGTAAGCTGTTCGTGAAAAGGAAGTACTGCCAACACTTTTACAGGCTGCTGCATAACGCAGAGTAAAAAAAAACTGATACGAAATAGAATAGATTAAAATTTTAAATAATTTTTTAAATTATTTGAATTTGTAATGAAAATTGCAACCCTGCAAAGGTTATTTTACTTTGCCTTAGAAAAAAAAGTATAAGTAGTATAATTTTCGTCTTGATATTCGTAGTTTTAATTTTAACCGGTAAGTAAAGTGAGATTTCATGATGCAATACTATGGGTGTCAGGTTTCGACTGCGTGGCCACTGCGGGCGAGGAGGCCCGCCGCCCGCAGAAGACCATCCCCTTCGCCGTGGTGGCCTCTCTGCTGGTGGTCTTCCTGGCCTACTGCGGGGTCTCTTCGGTGCTCACGCTTATTCTGCCCTATTACCTGCAGGTCAGTGAATAATAGGCACTACTGATCGTAGTTCTATTTACTGTTGGATATTTTTTCGAAAAAAGACTTGTACGGAAGTAGTATGGAGCTTGGTACTTTATTCCCAGAGAAATTCAACCAGCCTCAAAGTTTTTGCTAGATATACAGTATATTTGAAAAGACATATTCATACATGTCATAGTAAATAATATTACAACTTAATATAGACTAAAATAAAATTAGGATATGGGATAGAACAAAAAATAAATCAACAAATTTGTTTAAGAGTGTACATAGGAATAAACCTATTCCCTTTAAGCTTGATTTCGAGTGCAATGGGAAAACTACCAGGCGAGTGCCGAGTGAGACAGCAACAATAACAATGATTTCACATCTCCCTTCCTACTAAAAGCACCTCTTTTCTCTAGAAAATAAAAAACTAATTTGCTAACCTACGCATATTTATGTTATGATGAAAAAAGCTATTATCGAAATGATTACGTTTTAGCTTATGCTAATTATTTTTTACTTCTGAACTATCGTCGAAATGTTATGCGTACTAAAAAAAGTTAAGTTTATGATTTAGTAACTAGTTATCATTTAATAAGAATTGAGGTTTTTGCGTAGTTAAAAATGTGAAATAAAAATATTTACAATGATTGATTTTTTAGTTATTTAGTTATGTACGGAGCAAGTTTTCAAAATGTCCACCGTTTTCCACAATGCATATTCTAGCACATCGTAGTAAATTTTGTTTTAAATTGTTCAACATCAACACATTTTGTCTCACAGTATAAAATGCTGAGATAATCCTCTCATGCAACACTTCGACACTGTTCACCTCCGCCGCGTAAAACTCCGATTTGGGAACATTTCAATAGCTTTTCTCACACTATCACCACTTATTGCGTAAAGTCGCACCATCTCAGTCAATTCGACGTTAGTTAATAAATATCTATTTTGCGCGAGCGAGCGGAAGTACAAATGATTTACGTATCTTCGCTAGACCAAGGTCGCGCGTGCACTGTCTCTATGCGCCCGCGCCCCCACCCCCAATGCTTTGCTTTTTGCCGCTGTGCCGCAGCTCGCTATTGCGTCGGAACAATAAAAGTGATGTGCATAGATTTCGATAACTAATGTTGTTCACAAGTAGTAGTCGATAAAAAAAAAAATTTTTTTGTTTTTTGTAAAGTTCAAGTTCATTACTTTATTATTTCTTTGGGTTCAGAATCAGGAATATAACGCACACTATAAGTATGTTCCACTTTCAATTATACAGCCTGTATATAAGCTTGACATAAAGAGCTCAGCAAAATAATAAAAAAAAATATTGTGACCTACATTTTTTATTTATTTGTTTAAAACAAAAGTGTTGTAAATATGTATAAATTATTTAACAGCAACATCGCGATGTTGAAAAAGTTCAAAAAGGAGCAACACTTAACGCTAAAATATTCAAAATCTTAATTCTAATTCGCTAATTAAATTGTGTCAAGAATGACATTGATATCTGATTTGTGAATATTTTTTTATGGTATTGGCAATGTCCCATTATCCAAAAAATGACATTAAAATCCGTCCCGTTTCGCGGGCTTGCGTTCCGTTTTACTTTACATAGTATTAAAAATTTGTAACGATTTCCTGGAAATTGCAGCTCAAAAATAATTTGTTTTTAATTCAGACTTTCTAGATTTTGAGACCTCTTTACGAAATACCAACTAATAGCCTGGTTAAATTTTCCATTTATTTTAGTACCACTAAAGGAACGACTCCTTTCAAATAATAAAAATGGAAGTAGATTAATTTGCTACTCCGCGAACCCAGTGAAGGTTAAATCCTGCAAAATGGCTGCGCTTGTGTTGAATATTTTTTCATGCAGTTAATTATCACACCCTCCCTTCGAATAAAATTAATAAAATAAGTACACAATCGCAACTACAGTCACAAACCACCAACATGAATTAACTGCATCATAAAATATTCAAACAAGCGCAGCTATTTTGCACGATTTAACCTTCACTGGGTTCGCGGAGTAGCTAATTAATTTACTTCCGTTTTTATTGACATGGACTTCCACAAAGTAACACCTGACTCTATTAATTCCTTTCAAATAGTGAAAAATTTCCCGGAAAAAATCCCGAAAAATTGGGAAATTTAGAAAAATTGGAGAAATATAATTTCGAAGGCTCATATTATGTTCTACGTTTGAAAATATCTTTTGAAGTTTTATTTAGCGTAAATTATAAAATAAACTTGTATAGCTAAAGGCCACTTGAGAAAAACGAGATTTAAAATGATTTCACAACAGCGAAAAAAAAGCCTTTTAATGGCTCCATCTTTTTTTATATTATTAATGGCTTTGCCTTTCGTTCAGTAACTTCAACTTTTGTCAAGTGTCAACATCAAATGTGGAAAATTAAAGGAAAAATATCCGGAAAAATATTAATTTTTCTGAAAAATATGACTTCTTCGAAATGGAAATTTTTCCATGCCCAACACTAGTCTTATTGAAGTAGGTTGCGACTGCGTTGCTGCTTTAGTGACGTAGGTGTTAATAGAAATGGAAGTAAATTGATTTGCTATTCTGCGAAATAGGTCGAATGTTGTGTAATTGGCAACTCCAGACAATACCTCGTGGGGAGGCGAAACACGTGTCGGCTATATTTTTGGGAGTAGTGTTTGTGATTGTAGTTGTGTTATTTATTTTTTGTAGCATTGGAGTTCCTTGTGAAAGAGTTCGTCCAAGGAAGTACTGCCACCTTACCTGTTTCTGCCGCCAAGCGGTAATGTCGGCATTACTGTGTTCCGGTTTACTTGGGTAAGGGTGCTGGTGAAATTACAGGCACATGGGACTTGTCAACTTATTATAGGGTGACGGGCACAGTGGCAGTGCCCCTTGGAGCTTTGTCTTTTAAAGCTCCGAGTGGCACTGCAATTGTAAGGCGTGTCGCTTACCACCAGACCTACGAGTTGTTCGTTCCGGCACTTAGTATCATAAACAAATATTCATTTTATGCAGAGGTAGGGTAAGAAAATTAATTGTATGAAAGAATATTTAACACGTGCGGAGCTGTTTTGCACGGTCTACCCTTCATTGGATTAGCAGAGTAGCAAGGAAATTTACGTCCATTTTTTAAAGAAAGTTATGTTTAATGCTAGCTGCCGGGAAGAGGTCGTTATCTAGCAATAAGGCCCTTTTGTAACCTGTCTGTTGTACGTTTTTATGTTTGTTCTTGTGCTCAATCAAAAATTGGATCGATGACCGTTCACAGGACGAGAAGGCGCCGTTCCCGCACGTGTACGACCGCCTGGGCTGGGAGTGGGCCAAGTACGCCGTCAGCGTCGGCGCCATCTGCGCGCTCTGCTCCAGGTCAGTCGCCCCGCGTTTCTGTGTGGGCGAAAACCCTCTGCTTACAGATCATTTTTTGGCATTTTCGAGACTCGTCGAACCTCGAGTCTCGGGAATATCGACACTTACTCTAAATGAAAGTAATATCTGACTGAAGCCAAAAAGGTTGTCAAAATTACTTTATTATATTATTTTATGTGTAATTTATATATATAATTTTATTTTGTTTGTATAAATTGTTTTATTTATTTGTATTATATATATTTTTTCTCAAAATTTTGTTTTGAAATGACTTTTGAGAGATCGATTCAATAGCATTCGATCCGAGCTGTGGATCGATTCAGAGATATATGGATCCATTACGATCCGAAAAATCGATTGAAAGCAAAAAACTATGCATCCCTATTCTGATCTGGTTCTGGGAAGTGCTCATGGTACAGGGACCAGGCAATTGGTGTGGTTGTATAATACATGTGTCGTTTTGTTGTCCAGTCTGTTGGGTGCTGTGTTTCCTCTGCCGCGTATAATCTACGCGATGGCGTCAGACGGGCTCCTATACAAGTTCTTGGGCCGAGTCAGCGAGAGGTTTCAGACTCCCTTGATCGGTACCATGCTCGCCGGCGTCTTCACCGGTAAGAGATATTGAATATTCAGTGATTTGACCGAAATTTTAAGTTTGTGCCTGTTAGAGTCCTAATGGGACGCAAAATAAAAAGCTAACTTTATTACAATAAGGCTGGTACATTCACCGCCTCAATTAAGTGCATAGATTGGTTTGAAACTAATTTACATATATTAGAAAGGTCGACTATCGTTAAGGTCCCTGCATCCATCTACCCACTCGAGAGATAGGGTTTTCCGGAGAGACTACGGGCTCGACGGCAAGACCAGGGTGCAGCGGGCGTTCGGGCCAAGCCCTCCGCCAGTGATACGCCTTTGCCCGTCTCTGGTGTACTTGGGTATGGACTCGCTGGTCTGCCCCGGTTGAGTGTAGCCGGTGTGTCTGTATCGTGCGCAGCTAGTGCGTTTTAATAGCGATCTAGTTGAGGGCCTGAAGCGAGGGGACGTGAGTTGCCCTTTGAGTTGAAAGCTATGTCCGGACATTGTCGCAGGGCACTGCGACTGGCATCTCCGGCACTAGCCCGGAGAACTAGTAGAGGATAAACTAGATGTCCTCCGGTCCATCCAGTCGCTTAGGTCATTGGGAAATGGGGAGACGTCGTTTTTCGGCGTCGGGAAGTGAGCGTGCTTTACAGCTCAGTCACCAATGTGGAGATTTGGTAGTGGACTCAGAGTCGACGGCTAAGCGGTGGCAACCGTTAGTTGTGCAATGCGCAACGGGAAATGAGCGTGCCTACAGCTCCGGTACCTATCTGGAAAATAGGGAAGGTACTGTACGTGTATCCGGGCCGGCTCTAGCTTCTCGAAGAACCGGGTAAAGTCAAGTGACAGTGGTCTGTGACAACCACAATTTGATACAGTTGTGACAATTTGTAAGGTTCGAGTGCGCGCACAGGTTATAGTGCACTTCTCGTATACCCTAAGAGTCGGTAGGAAGGGTCACTATAAACAAAAGTAATGTAGATAGTATGGGACTGTCGGTAAGGTGTTTGCCGCTGCGCCGCTGGCCCACGTGACGTCACGTCATGCTGTGTCGTCCTCCCGCGCGTCTCGTCCCAATTCTCAACAGCGCTAATTACTAACATGTAGTTTTGGGTATAACGGTGTATTAGACTGTACGAGGAAAACTACAGAAGAAAATAACCAATGGAAGTGCCTCTAAAAAGCCTCGATTGCTATCAGAACCGCTGTCGCCAAAACTCACATTGAACATACGTAATTTGAAACACTATGAAATCTTCATTGGTCGTAGTTTCAAATTTAAAAATATATAGACAACTTCTGGAATGTTAATATATTTTAAAATGTACTCTCTGTTGGCATATCGTAGGCATCAATCAATAGGTATTGATTTTTTATTGCAAGTTACGTTTTGATTTTATATTGAAATTTCAATCAATGTGCTGCCATCTAGTGGTTAATAGCTGAACGATGACGAATTCACGATGTTTATTTAGTTCTCTAAAAAGAAGCGACTCTATTGCAACGGTATAGAGTTTATTTTCGTTTTTTGCAACTAAAAAATGATAACGGCAAATAGAAAATTGATTTAAATTAAATGAAATAAGACCTAATGACGATACGGAACACCACCGTAGATAATATTACAAACGCGACTATCATCCAAAGTAGCGAAATAAGTAATTTCTCTACGATTTTCGAGGTTATGCACTATAGTTGACAAGACAATAACATACAAAATGAAACTGCGGACTGAACTCAAGTTTGCGGAATTCCGCGAACTGTTGGCACACGTACTACACAAACAAACCACTTCTGTTGTATTTATTGTTCTGTGAGGAAAACAAAATATTGGTATGAAACTTAAAATTCAGGAGTATTTAAAATCTTTTGACTGGTCAGTTTCGTCTTAGAAATTACAATTAAGTAAATTTCGAATTCAGAGATTGCCGAGTTAATGTACCATAGGTGTTCCTGATACGCTGCAAAACTGCAGAGTCGTTATCCATCGTAGGATGGCACGTAGGAAACTTGTTCTAGCTGATCGGGTAGAATGTGGTTTTCGCAGGTACCTTGGCCATGTTGTTCGAGCTGGAGCAACTGATCCATATGATGTCCATCGGGACCCTGCTGGCGTACTCCATGGTGGCTTCGTGCGTTCTGTTGCTGAGGTGAGTTAGGACGCACGGGGCGGCGAGAAAGGCTGTTGATGGTGATGATGGCGATGATGATGGTGCGTCCCAGGTACGAGCAGAGCGCGTCCACGCACCGGCCGGCGGCGGCCGCGCGGCTGCAGTGCAGCGCGCGTCTCTTCCTGCGCCAGCTGGTGAACGCCGACGGCTTGGACGCGCCGTCGCCGCTCAGCTCGCTCGTCGTCTCCGTGCTGGTCTCCCTGTACGGTGAGTCTCTACAACAGCCAGTGACGGGACGAACAAGTCCTGCGCCTGGTGGTCAGCGACACGCCCGTCCATAGCAGTTGCAGTGCCACTCAGAGCTTTAAATCGCAAAGGTCTGAGAGGCACTGCCACTGCGCCCGTCACCCTGAGACGTAAGTCGACAAGTCCCAAGTGCCTGTAATTTCACCAGCACCCTTACCCTTCAATACCGGAATGCAGTAATGGTCACAATACTATTTGCTGGCAGAAATAGGTAAGGTAACTCTCATCACAAGGAGTTCTACTGTTACAATTGGACCAGTGTATTTCCACCCGCAGCGATTTTGGGCTGAAGTTATTTGTAAATTGCGCTGCTAGTTAAAAGAAAGGGAACGCTTTCGACCAATCACCGTAGGGGGTGATTGGGGGGGTGCGAGAGGCTGTGGTTCATGGTTTGTTGGAGAAGACTACTCTCCTGAAAACTCTAAATGCGATTAACATAGTTGAATTCATATGTATTCACACCTTGAAACAATAATGAAACGTATCGCTGCAGGTGTGTGGTGCATCATAATGATGTCCAGCATCAACCAGTACAGCGATGAAATTCTGGCTGGCCACGCAGGCCCCATCGCCATGTTTGCCATTGGCTCGTTGCTAGTCGTCGCCACCCTCTGCGCCATAGCACGCCAGCCAGTGTCAGAGAAGAAACTGGCTTTTTCGGTGAGTTTTGTTTCATATCTTTAAGTCAACTGCCAAGGAAGCGAAATTGTTATCTATTTATTTATAAAAAAATCTCTGTTGTGGACTTACAGCATAAGACAAAGCGTTCAATTAGACTTGAAATTACACTTAAATATGAAGTAATACGTAATATTTAAATATAACAGGTACAAATTAGTAAACAAATGAAAGAAAGGAGACAGAGACAGATTACTTTTCAAAATTGACTACAATCTAAGAGCATTTACGCACTACGTCCGATTCGTATCAGGGGGTCAATTCACAGCCTTACACTAACTCAGTTGTCGACCGATTTGATTTCATATCGTACGTTTTCATTTAATTTTTATTCACACCCGAATCGAACGTTAAACTGTCGTATTCGAAACCGAACCGAAATGACGTTACACCCATACGACTACTCGAACTTCTCGACCGACAAAGTTTATAAACGTTATTCAGAACACAGGTATCGAATGAAAGTTACCGAACGTCCTATTGTTTACAAAGCAAGAAAGTATTTTGGATTTGTTTGTTCAATTTTATTAATTTATTTTAATATAGGGTTTTTCAATAAGAACTTTGTTTTGTAAATCAAAATAAAACAATAAATTTAGATGACAATGATTCAAATTTTTATTGTATTAATAAAAGTAAGGTTTGGCAATTATTAATGAAAAATGATATCTGATAAATGTCCACCACGACCACAGTTACAGATGTCGATTCTTTCCATAAAGTTTTTAATCACTTTTTGAGAAAGTGGTGGGTTTATTTGGTTAATCACTTCAAAAATTGTGAGTTTTAAGGCTGCAATCAATTCGATTGGCTCCGTATAGACTCTGTCTTTAACATAACCCCATAAAAAATAATCCAGCGGTGTTAAATCATGATCGAGCTGGCTACTTAACGGCTGAATTTCGTGAAATTATCGGGAAATTTGGTTTGCAATAAATTAATTCATTGTTTCGGTGGTAATGTGACTTGTGCCGTTGGCATTGGGCCGTTTTTTTTCGAAAATTCGGCTGGAAATGCGGTAACGGTGAATGGATCACGCTATCGCGAGATGTTCACAACTCAATTTTGGCCTAGCATTGATGACATGGATATCACTGACATGTGGTTTCAACAAGACGGTGCCACATGTCACACAGCCAATGAGACAATCAATTTATTGCAAACCTAATTTGCTGATCGCGTAATTTCCCGAAATTCAGCTGTTAAATGGCCAGCCAGATCGTGTGATTTAACACAACTGGATTATTTTTTGTGGGGCTATCTTAAGGACGGAGTCTATACGGAGCCAATCGAATCGACTACAGCCTTAAAACTCAAAATCCGTGATGTGATAGCCGAAATAGACCCGACATTTTGCCAAAAAGTGATTAAAAATTTTGATGAAAGAAACGACTTCTGTCAGCGTGGTCGTGGTGGACATTTGCCAGATATCATTTTTCATTCATAATTGCCGAACTTTTCTCTTTGTAATACAATAAAAATTTGAATCATCTTCATCTAAATTTTTTGTTTTATTTTGTTTTAGAAAACAAAGTTCATGTTGAAAGACCCTTTACAACACTAACACATTCCTATAAAGTCTTAAAAACGTACGTAAAAGGATTTTGATTTTTCTTATAATCTATTTCACCGACTAATTCCATACACGCTGTTGAATAACGATGTCGTATATGAATCAGAATCGAACATTTAACTGAATAGCTCAGAAAGCGCCCTCCAATTCCAGAACGATATCCAATCGATGGATTCGATTAAAATATCGAAGAGTTCTGAATCGGAGTCCAGTTCCGAATCCGAGATATGACGGTCCGAAATGTCACCAGGATAATTTTATCTCTAGGTGTACAAGCTATATTATATACTGTCACGACTGCATTACTCCACGAAGTCTGAGGAGATAGTGGAGTATATCAGACATAAAGAGTGTATTTGACACTCTGAGGGTCGAGCGGTTGGAGTTCCGCCACAACATCTATTGACCTTTATGAAGGAAAAGTTTTGGCCGAAGGGTGTCGGTTACCCGACACCAGATTGCGCCACACGTCGCCGACAAGTGCAATTCGTGTAGATTAGTTAGGAATAGTGTTTTATTACATTGTATGTATGTTAGTCTTTAAGGTATATATTATATGGGTCATGTGGCCTGAAGTAAATAAATAAATTAAAAAAAAAAGATTTTCGTATTTTCTCGGATTGGAATCGGACTTAGTGCACAAGCGACAACCGAAGTGGGGCCGAGTTTTCTAGATTTGTATAATCTCGTATAAATACTCAAATAGTACTGCACTAAAAAATGTCACTACTTTTCTTTGTGCCGTATTTAGATAAAGTATTATAAAATCCGAGATATCTTTGATGATCTCTTAGAAGATCACTCTATGTGAATAACGAGCCGAATAAAACGGAAAACTTTACAACGCTCCCCTGTAAACTTGGCAATTTCGACATACGTTACTTTAAGTAGCAGGGGTCGTGATAATGATAATGAATATCATTATAAATTCGTTTAGTAGTAAAAACATGCGCTGTTGTTTTTTATTAAGGATCAGAAATAGGATACAGCTAAAAGGTGTATAGCAATAGGAATGTGGTTGTTTGCGCAGGTGCCTCTAGTGCCGTGGCTGCCAGGCATCAGTATCCTCATAAACGTGTACCTCATGTTGAATCTCGACTACGTCACCTGGATCCGTTTCGCAGTCTGGATAGCCGCCGGTAAGTCCCACTTTGTGCCAGTTTAAGAATAGCAAATGATAGAGCACAAAATTATCTTTTAACAACAGTTAAAATTAGTTAACGTGTTCGACTTATCGAAACCTACTGTAACGATGCATAGCTGAAATATGATTAAACAATTTGAATATTCTAAAACTGGGTTATAGTTTTTTATGATATCTCAAAAGAATATTTTGTTACTTGCCGTATTTTAGTTCGCGGGCGGCGAATAGAGTTTTAATACCAGGAATATCGGTCTCAAAAATATCGCGAGTCTCGAGGATTTTTTGGCATTTCCGAGACTTGATGTTCCGGATCCGAATAGGGCCAATTTGGCCAAAAAAATATGAACTTAAGTCGTTCTGGTCTGGGTGTTCTCGGAAGTGCCCCAGAGTGAATTCTGTTGTTCTGGTCTTATAATACAAGGAAGGCAATGGACACCCATTTCTTGTGGACACACAATTGATTGACACATAGTTATTATTACAATTACTAAATAGGATTTCTTTTAAGATCTCAAGAATTTATGAGGTGGTCACGCTCTATCTTAGCATCTCTATGATCGTGGTCTCCTTAGGGGTCTCAATTCATACCCAACTCAATTCATACCAAATTTTTTTATATGACGATCGTTCAGTTTTTTTTTAATTTAAATTTTAAAAGATATTCTTTCCAAATGTGTATATTGTGGATCTCAGGTCATCAAGTTCATTTTACCTTTGCTTCGAGGCCAACCCGCCTACAGTGCAAACAAAATGTCCTACCTACCATAATTAACACCTCGTATATAGCAGAAGGATTAATAATAGTAATAATAATTAATCTTTTAGGCCTTGGGAGAGGTGAGAGTCTAAAATAGATAAATAATAATTATTATTAATTTATTTGTGAAAACACAGGTTATATAGCAGCTGACATGTACAAAATAAGTATAATTTCACTGCATCGAGTATATAACCAGATATCCATCCATCCCTGGCAACTCATTAGGCAAATGGGCCTTATATCACTTTTAAATATCAACTCTCGTTTGCGCTGAAATCACAAATTAGAAAGCGGAAATAGTACAGCGCCAACTCGTCTTCGTATATTCCAAAAATATTCTGTATTTATTGTAATAAAGATAATCTCTAACTATGGTGGGCTGTTCCATTCGATGGTGTGGGAAAAACAACAAAACATCTAATAACAAAACAAACGGAGTCACATTTCATCGGTAATTAAATATGTAATTTTTCAATTTTCGTCCATTATAGCAAAGCTCAAGTTAAACTGGTCAATGTTGTCGAATTGACGACACCCGTGAATTGTTTCAAATTCGGGCTGGCCAATCGGAGCGCAGTTGCCACCGTAATGATTTGGCAGAATAGTTTCCAAACAAATGACATTTCGTCTCTATTTCTGGTTATATACTCGACGTTTCACTGTGTCCGGCCAAATATTAGGCATACAAATATTGAAGGTATATTATACATTCACTTACACGCTCTCCTCGGTAGGGCTGCTGATCTACTTCTCGTACGGCGCGTGGCACAGCGCCGAGCGGCGGCGCACGCTGGAGGCCGTGCACATGGCCGACCTGCACTGCGACAGCCAGACGGTGCTGCTGCGTCAGAACCACCAGCACCTGCAGCACCCCCTGCACCCCCTGCACCACTCGCTCGGCTGACGCCCGCCCTCCCCGCACGGAGGCGTCAACCCCTCGGCGGCCGCCGTCGACCCTCCAACTCTCGGTGGGACTTCAACGAAGGTAGTTTCAAAAGCAGTCGGTTACCCCTTTAAAAGTGGAGTTTACTCTTCAACGACCAATGATACGGACCAAAGTTATGATGTTTCTAATAGAGCACTGAACGGTGGAGGGTCGCAGGCCGCTCCTAGAGAGGACTTCAGCCCGACCGGAACGATCGTTTCGTTTATTTCAAGCATTTAAAATGTACTTAATTTAGTATCTTTTCCAAATAGTAATGTTCGCTTTGATGTTTTTTACTCGAATAGTTAAAGCTTCTTCGCCTTAAGTTCGACTCTTCGCGGTTTTCAGGAAGTCCCCCCTCTCCCCATTTGCGAATAACGGAATCGGGGCTTCAAAATGGCCGAACTTTTAACGCAGTTTGTGCGCATCAAGTATATAACCAAAAATAGAGACGAAACAAGGGCCATCCATCCCTGGCAACTCATCAAGCAAATGGGCCTTATGTCACTTTTATATCTACTCTCGTTTGCATTGGAATAACAAATTAGAAAGCTGAAATAGTACAGCGCCAACAACTGACCTATCTGTAGGTCTCCGTATATTCCAAAAAATATTCTGTATTGTAATAAAGATAATATTTCTATTTAGGGGTTTCCAATCAGTGGTGTGGGAAAAACAGCAAAACATCTAATTACAAAACAAACGGAACCACATTTCATCGGTAATTAAGCATTAAATATGTAATTTTGCAATTGATGTCCATTGTAGCTAAGCTCAAGTTAAACTGGACGATTTGAAGTGAAACAATTGACGACACCCATGAATTGTTTCGAATTCGGGCTGGCCAATCGGAGCGCAGTTGTCAACGTAATGATTTGGCAGAATAGTTTTCAATCAAATTAAATGACATTTCGTCTCTATTTCTGGTTATATACACGATATTTGTACTTGACGTAGTGTGTGTAGTTTATAAGCAAAATTAGTGTGATTCCAGTATTAAGTTATGTATTGGCTGTGAGACAGCGAGGCTATGAAGTAAGTTATGATTTTTATGTAATATTAAGTAAGGAGTTGATAATCTCTGCCAACGCATGACCTTTTCAAGGCGAGGGTCAATAGCCAATTATTGGCAAACATGCTCTGCTCGTTGTTGTTTTTCTTAGATTGACAAATACGTGTGTGTAATAATCAACAATAATTTATTGGTACGCGTGATGGAGGAGTGGCGCTTTTGCGTCTATGGCTCAACTCACACTGGCGCAGAGTTGAAGCGTCGCGACGCATCATGTTTTACGCCTATAGCATATTCATCTCTATTTTCCAAATTTTACAAATTTGTGTTATGCAGATATGTTACTTGAGGCGTCATTCGGACGCCGACCACACTGTGGTCGCCAGGCGTTGTTGAAAAACAGGACGCGACGCTATGCTTCGACTCTGCGCTAGCGTGAATTGAGCCTATATGTAGTGAAACTAAGTTATTCAACGGAATCATTTTATTTTTTGTTTTTAATAAAGTGCCAAATGGCTTGTCTATTCATTTTAATTATCAATGATAATTTATTATTAACAAATTTTTTAATAACAATTTTTAATTACCGTTTCACAAAACAACTTCCTAATTTGGTGGGCACTTTTTTAAACTAACATTCAGTCGATAGCCGATATAATATATATTGAGACAATAACCGGTGTTGATGGAGTGGTCCGCGGAAGAATTTTACTCCATATGTATACAAAAAGATATTATAAAAAATGTATCGTACGAAATAAAACAAATAAACCATATTTCGTATCAAAAACGACTTTTTTTAAATTCAGCACTTGGCAAGTGGCATACTTGCCCTTGTACCTACGTTATTTTTTAAATCTATTTTGTCTATTTATGAAAAATGTAACTTACCCCATTACATAATTTGTTATTGCAAGTACTCGTGTCAATGGTACAATACCAACTATGAAATCGAAATCTCGTAAATTGTTCCTATTAAGTTAATATAGTAGTAAGCGTATTTGGTACACATAGTGATTTTTACACAGCATTGAAAAATGTTTTTCTCTTCCTGTACTTTAATCAGTCAAATATAAATTCATAAACCATGTCATAAAGACGCTCTTTTGAGTTTTGAATCAAAATTCTATTGTCTATGGTATTTGCCACTGAGCTGAAAAATTTAATTATAGTTCTGGGGACCTACTATGAGCTTATAAGTAGCCAGCCATGCAATTCACTTGACGTGGTAAAACTGAATTGCCTAAATTCGTATCGTATATAAAATTGAACGGGAATAGCGTGACAGGATGATGAGTTTTACTTTTTAAACGTTAATTATTGTCTCTGGCTGGCTGGCTGACATTTAACAAGAGCGAGATGGAACTACATACTAAATCAGATGCGGGAGCGTTCAAGCATTATTATGTGTTCAAAATGAGAATAATTATATTTCTTTATTAATTTTATTATTGATTTTACTTACTACGTTGTTTTGTAGTATCGGCAACTTGTCAATCACACTTTACAATTTGTCGTACGACAAAATTGCATGTGATGTCTAGTCATTATCATTGAAATTAATAAGGTGAGTTTGTAATTTTATAACACAATTGGAATGTATATTGTAAAGTAAAATTTAAAAGTTATTTTACGATTTTCGGTCAATAAAATTATTAAAATGATTAAAATTCCATTTAAAAATTGCAATAACATTCATGCCAATAATTTATCAACAATACTTCAAAGATTGGGAACTCGAACTAATATTTTCAAAAACGCTCAACAGTTAATAGTATTTATTTATTGACAATTGGCTATATAGCATAAAAAGATAACAAATAATTATGAAACTGGAAATATAATAAAACTTAAACGAAATTTCTTAAAAATGTAACAAATATTTTTACAGATGAGACCGCCACTTGCATGGCAAATGGCACATCATGATACGATTTTGCTATGAAAGAAAAGGTGAACGGATTTCGAACGGGGAACGTAAACTGCATGGACAGTGAATTGTTTTTGTGAGGTCATAGTACGAATTTGACAGGCAATCCAACTTACAGGCTTAAATAGGATTGCTCTGAGAGCTCATAGTAGATCCACTGTTCACGAAACTATAGCGCGTTTCAAAAAAAAGGACGTCATGTGTTTTCTAATTAAAATATCAAATATGACACTATTCAGACGCTCTACTGCCTCCTGATTGGTTAAATTGGCCTAAAGGTCTTGCAATTGGGACATAAACTTTTATAAAAAAATATTGGTTAAAATGTAAGCAGTACCTACTGGGCCATTTTTATCCTCTTTGGTTTTTTGTTTTGTAGCGTTTGTTTTATGGATTGTTAATAAAATATACATTATTACACGTAAAAAAAGTATTGTATGCAAACATTATTTAATTAGGTATTTAAATCAAGTACCTATTACTTTTTAAGAATCCTCATGATGTAACGATTGCAAAAATACTGTTTTTAACCGACTTCAAAAAAGGAGGAGGCTCTCAATTTGACTGTATTTTTTTATATATGTTACGTAATAACTTAATAAGAAATTTGTGTACCGATTTCGTTTTTGATGATTCTTTTTTGTTGGAAAGAGGGTACTTCAGTATTGGTAAATATTCCACCTCAAGGGGTGGCAAACTAGGCATGATACGGTTTCGCGCACTTTCCGGTAACCGATTTCAACAAAACTTGGCAAATACGTAGATGTAATTTCACGAACTTTTGTTGTCGGTTTTTTAATACTCTGTACTGAGATTATTGATATCAGATAACCGGATAAACAAGTCGTGCGTCTGGTGGTAAGCGACACGCATAACCGTTACAGTTACATTGCCACTTCGAGCTTAAATCGCAAAGATTTGAAGGGCACTGCGCCTTGAGACAACTTCACAAGTCCCATATGCCTGTAATTTCACCAGCACTCTTACTTTAACGGCAGTTCATTTTTATACTTACTTATAAAGTTACCCACACTCCTGTACTGCCCAGGGTGCCTTTGACTATACCTATAAACATATGTTGTGGTTGTTTGCGTTAAAACAATTAATTCATACCACATCGCATGACATCATCATTGCGTAGTTCAGTATATAATTTTTTATTTGTATATATTTTGTATCGATGTATTTTTGCCTTTTGCAATCGCAAAGATCTAGGAAAAATGAGAATGTGACCATTAATTGACGTTATAACGCAATAGACTACAATTAACCGCATAAGTCAATCCGCGCCCGCGACGCTACAGGGGCGCGGGTTATCTTGCAATATGAGGCACATGAGGTGAAAATATTTGCGGATAGTTCTAATGATACGTTTAGTATAATAATAAATAAAAATACTTAAATCGATACCTCCAATGAACACAAAGCCAACTTCTTGGTCGTTTTCTCTTATTTTTGTAAACAGACATATTTATATACTAATATTATGCTCATCGAATTTTGTGAAAAAAATAAACAAGAAACAAAGTAAAAAAGAACAGGTCCAAAAATTAAGTCGGCGTAGTGTTTATTGGAGGTATCAAAATACGACTACTTAGAGTTTATTTTATTTTATTTATAACATACATAGCCTGTAATAAGTAAAAAGTACATAAAGCGGTGTTGCATAAACCTATTAAATATTTTTCCAATAAAGGACACATTAGATACAATTATGTGAAAATCAATTGCTAATGTCCAGATGAATATCGTTTGCACTTGATTATTAATTTTATGTCCAAAGACAGATCGAATCATCTCGAGAACGTAACCTCATGGTATGTCTTATAGTGACTGTTACTTGTCAAAATTGCCACCCCTCGCCCCTGTAACATCGCGGGCGAAACCTTCATATACACGCTAATTTGTCATGCTTGTTTTTGCTCTGACTTGTATGTTTTGATGTTTAAAATACCTAAGTAGGCTATTTTATAGTATTGTCGAGAACACGTCCAAATCGGCGCTTAGCTTTGGAGCATTCTTATCATAAGCGGCATTGACTTATAATTATATGGACGTCGGGTCCGCGCTAAAAAGTGTCCGAACTTATAGGGCGTTAAAATCGTATACAGAGCGTCATTCACGCTTTAGTCTTCGTTTGTTCGACAGACAGCGAAGCAAGCAAAATTAAACAGTACTGCGATGACATTACAATTTAAATTCAACGTTTTAGCTTTTTCATATTCCTTTACATGTCACTACGTTTAATTAGGTTGGGTTATTGCATTGACTTACAATTATATGGACGTCGGGTCCGCGCTAAAAAGTGTCCGCACTTGTAAGGCGCTAAAATCGTATACAGACCGCCAAACTCCACTTTAGTCTTCATTTGTTCGACTGACAGCGCGATACTGCGATGACATTACAATTTAAATTTCGAATAGATTGACTTGGGACATTTTTTCGTGGTTTTTGTATTAGACCCGTCGTCCATTTATTTGTAAGTCAATGGGTTATTGGGACATTTTGTTCGTAGTTTTTGTATTAGACCCGTCGTCCATTTATTTGTATGTCAATGATAAGCGGTACAGATGTCATTGTCAAGCTTGATTTGCTCTATTCTG